GCCCGCTCATTAAGGGGGGATGTCCCCCTTACGGTGGAAGCGGTACACAGCGGGTTAAATATTCTCTTTCTCACACACACCTAGATATATAAAATATATGTATTTGGAAAAATAAATATATATTGCCCTAGCCGGTGGCATTTTGGGCATTTTGCAAGAGCGAGCTTGTGCCGCGGTCTTTCCGCAGGCGAAGCTGGGCAGCAGCCCTGGCCGGATCCTGCCCTGCGATCGCGGCCCAGCAGGTGCCTCCGCCTGGCCGGGGAAGGGGGGTCGTGGGCCACCTAGGACCCCCCAGTTTTGCTGGGCAGCGCTCAGCTGCCCTCCGACCTCTTCAGCGCTCCCTTCCCCCGGGGTCGCCGGGGGGGGTTGTATCAGGCACTCGCTCCGCAGCTCGCGTTTTCTCGGACTGTTTCTTCTCCTGTCTGCTAAAAGACGAAGTAAGGAGGGGAAAGGCTTGCAAAGCTCGGATGTTGTTCGGCGCTGCCCTTGGACGCTGTTTACAATTGTTATTTCCGGGGCGGGGGGGGGAGAATCTATCTGTGAGTGTCCAAAAAAGGGCCATCGGTTTCCATGTCCATGAGGACGTCTCATTCAGAAAGGGCGGAACAATCTGCCCTTAATGATTTAAAGATGGTGACTTTGGATCAGTTTTTAAAAAGCTCTAATAAACAAATTTTTTTGATTGGAAAAATATATCCTGGCACGCCCGTGTCTCTTCCCTGCTTTCCATCCGCTATAGGGAAACGCTGCTATTCACTCCCTGTTCTAAGGACAAAAAGTCTCCGGTGTGACAATAAACCAGAGGCTCCTCAGCAATTTAACACAAAGTAGATAGCGGAGGTGTCAACACGTCTTTGTTCTGCCCAGCATTTATTTTCCTGCCTGTTGAACTGTAACTATTAGAAACTGCACGAAGGTGAAATTTGTCTTAAGCAACACTTTTACTTTTTTTTTTTAAACAAACACAATAAAAATATGGGTGATATGTTGTTAAAATGTGTCTGTTGTTATTATCGTTGTTGGTGTTGTTATTGTTGTTGTTACAGATTATGTCAGTGTATTCTTTGGGCTATTTTAAAATAGAATGAAATAAACAATTCCGGTTTTGGACGAAACTGTCTGTGTTTTTTTTAGATTTTAAGTTGACAGAAATCCAAGCAAAAGCAATGATGCTACCTCCTTCCAAAATACCTGAAAGAGGAGGCGGGGGGGCTTGTGAAAGAAATGCTCCTCAAGAAAGAAGAGGGGCCAGTGTGAAGGACACATACAAATGCAAAGATTAGGGGTGGGGAAGGAAACACAAAATCCAACGCACGGATTAAATAATAAAATAATTTTTTTTTAAAAAAAAAAAAAAGAAAGAAAGAAGACGCAGCAAGGAAAAGCCAATGAGAGAACTGAAGGCTGAAGTACAAAGGAAGGGAAATCGCCTTTGCTCCAATTTACAGACTGGTGATTGTCTGAAGGAGTTGTGCTCCCTGTCACCTAATCTCTTCCCTTGGCGGCTTGTTAGCGTTTGGCACGGGGTCTTTGCTCACAGAGCATTATACATTCGATATTCAAAAACCCTCCTTACATATACATCACTTGCTAATTTCGTCAGTGTGGGCATATTTCAGCGACTGATAATAGGACATTGTTATTTAAAGGACAAATAGCTCTGACCCATAAAGAGGCAGGAGCTCGTATTTTTTCCCTGCCAATTCCAGTCTGCCTCTTAAAAATAAAAGTTGGAATGAAAGAGGAGACGAAATGCTGGATTTCTGCTCGAAACGAAGGAGGAGACAAGGGAGAGTAAAGAATGCAATTAAACCACGAAAGTAATGTACAGAATGTCGGTTTTTCTTTATGGTAAAGCATTGTTTTTCTCTATAGAGATAACTGGCTAATACTGTTGAGTTGCAATCCAGAAACCTTTTGTTTTTGCCGTTTGCTCGTTGTTTTTATTTTCTGAACACTCTGGTAGGTTACATCTTTGCTTTCTTCATGCGCACAAGCCATTTCGTTATCAAGATAATGTTTCTTTCAAGTATTTCAGATTTTCCTTCTCCGTCTCGTAGGTTTGTGCATAAGGTTTGTTGCTGTGAGCCGCAGAAGCCCCAGCCCTTGGTAAGAAGTCTATCCATGGAAAAGAAAGTCCCAGCTCATTTCTATAGGTTACCGAAGTGTATTTCATTCGGGTTGGTTTTCTTCCTCTTTCCGTGCCTAAAATCCTTCTCAGAGATAAATCACCAGTCATTTCTTTCCTTCTTCTTTTTTTCCCTTTGGAATGTAACTCCTTTTAAGACTGAGCTATTTTTAGTCTTTTTTTTCCCGTAGGTGTCCACTTCTGGGGAGAGAACATGATCAAATAAACATCGGCTGTAGGTACATTAACTCGAAGAGAAGCCCAGGAAAGGGGCGAGTTTTTAATAACCCTGAGACGAAGGTTTATCTCGTTAAAGGTACTTCTTCTCGCTGGTCCATGGAAACTGAGGTGGCTTTGCTCAGCACAGAGGGCGTGAAAGTGAGGAAAGAGTCAGTCCTGGTTGTGGCCGAACAGGTAAAGTCTGATCCGGAGGGTCTCTGCGCCAGCCCGTTGGACTGACCGCTGTGGCAAGCCAGGCAGGAGCAGGGGTTGCCCCCGGCGCTGCTGAGTCCATGAGTTGGGGCAGGGTAGAGAGAGGGATGCCTGAAGGCGCACAGCAGTTCTGGTCTTGGGTAGGGGTGGGAGAGGACCCTGAAGGTGTCCAGCGGCCTCAGGGGGGTACTGAAGGGAGTGGCGGCAGAGGCCGATGTGGCTCCGATGCCCATGTGGGAGTAGTAGGGCAGGGGCAGGTGGGACGGGAACGGGTAGGGCAAATTGCCGGTGGCCGCCGCATGGCTCATCATGTAGGTATAAAACGCCGGGTCGGCCGGGTGAGGCCAGGTCATGGCCAGGCGCTGCCGCTTGTCCTTCATCCTGCGGTTCTGGAACCAAACCTGCGGGGAGAGGGGAGGCCAGAGCCGTCACGCACCGCCGCCCCGCTCCGCCGGCACCGGTCCCAGCCCGGGTCTGCCGGCGAGGAGAGACCGGCGCCAGCTCTCACTCCCAGAGGGAGTTGTCATCACGTACGGAGGGATCAGTTAAGCCCCTATAAATCTACAGGGAGACCCAGTGGAGCAGCCCTTTTAGGGTGCTTGCTTTCTTTTCTTCTGGCTAGGGCTGACCCCCCCGGACCCGGGCAAGCCCGGCAGCTCTGCCTCCTTGCTGCCGTTTTACAGTCAGAACTACC